CCGCGCAAGAAAAAAAAAAAAATAAATAAAACAACAGTTACAATGATGTTGGGGGGTTACGAGGCGCAATCGGATTACTATCCGCAATGGCATCAGCCCTACAATTATGTCACACAATTACCGTATGGTAAGTTTTATTGTATATATTAATTTTGCTGCGTTTTTTTCATCAATCTTAACTCGCTCATATTTCTCTAAAATTAAAAACTATCTTAAGCTTGAACAAAATATGGAAAAGTTCCTTATTAGTATAAGTTTCCTGTTAAATATCTTCATAAAGTGTTATAAATCCTTGTTTTCTAAACTGAATGTGAGGATCGTCGCAGGATTAAGCTTTCTTTTTTATTCATTTTATTAACACGGTACCTAATTTATTAATTACAAGTTATTATCTTAAATTGTATGAAGAAAATTTTATTTAAATTTTGTAACGTCGTTAAGCCATTTCCACATAAGTAGAGCAAAGAATAATTTTAAAGTTGGAAACTAAATTAAGCTAAATGAAATAGTTTTGAAAAATACTTGGGTCTCTCACGCAGATATCTCACGTGTTTCAAAAGTTTCCAAATTTTCATAACTTTTTAAACAAAGAAAATTCTGTTTGTAGAATACTGAATGGCCAAAATTATGAAAGAATCGATAGTTCAAGAGCTTTTATCATTAAAATCTATTATCGTAATTAAAAGGTATATCAAACTTATTTTCTGATATACTTACATTCAATAATTATGCCATTATTCATATTTATATTATGTTATTTAATGAAGCTTTAAGGAAAATAGATTGAAAAATAACATACATAAGTATTGCAAACGTAATTGATAGAACAACAAAGTAAGACGACAAGAAAATTAATTAATTTATAGTAAGCTAAAGTAAGAGTAAGATAATAAATGAAATAACAAACTAAACTGAAATAATAAGGGAAATAACAAAACTGAGCTGAAAACAAAATAATTTCTCAGCACAAAAGAAGCGCCGCAAGATTCGCCATTCTAGCGAATGTAAAATTCTCCATTTCTCCTTTGTAGGTCCTCTGAACGTGCCCGACGCGGATAGCCAATCGACGTACTGGGGCGCGGATTCCGGGATCTCTGGGGGTAGTTCCGGCGCTGGGAGCCCCACCGCTTCAACGCCTCCCCTAATCGAAGAGATCGGTGTCCAAGAGCCCAGCTATTCACCCCTGCAACAATACCCACACCCTTCCATCAACCAACATTATTCTAATTTACCTTACTCGCCTCAACAAGACGTTCCACATCATCTGCATCATCATCACCATCACCATCATCATCAACAAAGTCACAGAAGGGAGGGTGACTATTCGACAATATCGTCAGTAAATCAAGTTGACGGATCGCTTCAGCAACACCTCGGGCAAGAAGCAAGGGACAATGGTACGGTCGTCAGGCCTAAAAGAAGAAACACAGCGAATAAGAAGGAGAGGAGGCGAACACAGAGCATAAACAACGCGTTTGCTGATCTTCGTGACTGTATACCCAATGTGCCGGCAGACACTAAATTGTCGAAAATCAAGACACTGAGATTGGCAGCCTCGTACATCGGTTATCTGATGGCGGTGCTGGAAAGCGACGAAGGAGAGGAGCCGCAGACCTTCCGCGCTGAAATTTTGTCCAATGGCAGAAGAAACAAAACGGCCCAAGCAAGTCAGGTTAGTTTGGAATTGAAAGTTTGCTGCAACGTTATAGCAAAATTTAAAGGGGCTATTGCAATAAGAAAACAATCTCACTTTTCAGTGATTTTTGTGCAAACTGAAAAATTAGCTGAAAAAATAACAAGCGTGCTATACATTCATTGTCAAATATTATAAAATATTATACTTTTAATTTTCTTTCCTTTTCAATAATACAATATAATATGTAATATTGCAGCTGCCTTGCTATAATATCTTTCCACAATTATAATATTTCTGTGGGCATTTAAAATTTTCTAGATTTTGCTTTGTCGCAATATAGGAAGCACATAAGATTGTATGTATCAGATTGTATTTTAAGAAGTTGTATATAATTATATATTTGTATAAGTCTGTGTAAAACAATCTCTTCCTAGTGACTCAAAAACAATAGCAGCAACTATGTGCTTTCGTTTTCTATTTATATGTATACATCTGGCCAACACAGAGCTTAATATTGGCTCCAATGACAAATCATCTTGATTACTTGTTAGTGTTATCGTTGAGTATTCCCTTTGAATCAACCATCCTATCAGATAACATTGAATTTGGTTCTCTTAAATGGAGAGATCGAAACAGGTTGAAACAAGTCTTGACTTGTCTGAACAAGTCTTAATTTGTCTTATCTTATATCTTATTCAAGATACAATGATGTGAGAAAAGATTGGTTTATTATGTCAATCAACTGGTATTTCCTCCATTTTTATTTTATCTCTAAATTTATATAGATGATAGCACCATATTTGTTTATAAAATAGCATCATCTGATTAGTAAATTTGTTGAATAACCGTGAGAAAAACCTTGCCTGCGATAATTAAAGTTTAATTAAATCTTTGATAAACAGAAGTTCGATAGAAATAGATCTTTGAAAGTTTTGCTCTGTAGAAGTTCGTAGACATTTTTATCAATACTACTCATTTATGCCTATAGATGTATAAACTTTTTGATATTATAATAGTAAATTGGTCATATGTGGAATGCTATGTTATTGGTGGAACAACCGATAATGCGATGACTCTTCATGAAGAAAGAAATCGACGATCTTGAACAAAATGTTTGCAAACAGAAATTTAACAAAAAACTGGGAAGTTTAAAAAATGTAATGAGTGTAGGTGTATTTAATACTTCGTTTTCATTTTCCTACTTTTATACATCTTATATTACCTACATACGAAGTAAAAATCATATTCCACAACTTAGATATTTTAATTTTAAAAAGCAGTAAATAAATTTAAGTCTCTTCTGAAAACTTAACCTAAACCGAAAAAAGAAAAAAATAATACTTCCACAACTTGAAAATAGTTTCATAAGTATTTTCGCAGTGAGAATCAACGTTATCGTATTTCAGCAACGAATTTATTTATTTGTCATTAAATCCTTCGTAAGCATTCCCTTCGAATAAGCACTGTTCTTTTTAATTGGATCTCATTCGCTGATGACTGAGAACTCGAGCTCAAACTTATCGTACCGAAGCTTCATCTCGTTAGGTGAAAAAAGATAGAGAAGAAAAATTTCATCGTGTTCACGTGCCACGAGAACGAGCGTTCTCAATTAAGCATACTTCTTCCTCGTGTTGTGACAGAGTAAATTTAATGATACTAAACAAGAAATAAATTCATGAAAATGAAATATTGAGTATAATGTTAATAAATGAATGAAAGTGAGTATTCTTTTGACTAAATGGACGCTTAATTTTCCATTACTATCAGAGATGTCAAATAATATAATCGAGAGACAATGAAAGTGAAAATTTATGGAATTTCGTGAAACTTTCAATAATTTCATAAAAATTTTATATTTTAGTCTCTTTTCACTTTTAGTCTCTATATATACTTATTCATTTCGAATATCATTCTAACGTTGATTCTTTCAATTGATTAATTACAAATAGAATTACATCACGCGTAGATTTTTTTAAATGAACAAGTAAGTAATCGATAGATTTAGATTTAAGAATTGAATTTGAAGAATAATGAATAAGAAGAAAACAATTTTGTGAAGTGGCGAGGACAATAGATTACAGTCAGGTTTTTTTAACGTATTATATTTTAAATTAAGTTTAGAAAGAAACCTTTCGCGGGAAAGAAAATATTTAACTATCATAGTTTGGATTGTTTTCGTAACTTAAATTTCAGAGATATTGTTTGCCACTCTGTAGTTTTGTGGTTTTTTTTTTTCTATTTCCTGTGATTTTTCGATTCACCTAAAGATCTTCTTTACTTCCAAGATCATCGACCTTTAATTCACCCATCATCACTACAAAGGAAAAGAAAAGAATTACACGAGGAAAAATTACAAACATTCAAACTTTAGATAAATACAATTCACATACATGAAACGCAGTATAAAAGTGTAATATAGTAACGTGAAGGTGTATGTACATCTGTATGATAATAAAAAATATAAATATAATTTAAACATCATATATATATTATAATAGACGTTGTTTGTATGCATGTTCGATTTTTCATTGCAGAACGAGTCGTATTTACAGCAGGCGTCCGGTTTCGGATCCGAGGAATCGTCGAAAAGTAAAGGACGAACTGGCTGGCCGCAACATATGTGGGCCCTCGAGTTGAAGCAGGAATCACCTACCAACCAGATGCAATAAAAGTCACCGATTCCCTATCTATTTCTGACATGTTGTGGCTTCTGTTCTATCATTATCGAGAAACCAATCCAAATTGGAGGATTGGATCGAGGTTGGTGGTGAGCCAGGAAGATTTGAAATAACCTTCGATTATTTTCATCTTTTCCGAGCCCAGCAATCAGGTATTTCGAGAAGCATAAATAGTCGGAACATATTTGTTGTTACTCTTTTATTTTCCATCATCGGCGAAGCGTTACGTAGTAAAATAAGATTAATTTATTCACATAGTTGCGAGATAAGGTTAATGTAAAAATTATTTTAGGTAATATCCGTGTGTATGTGTGTATGTGTATCCGAGAGGATGAAGAGATTCTTTTTTTAATTCCTTACATTTAGCTGATTTTATTTTTTAAAAAATCCGAAAGACCTTTTTAATCGTGTTTGCACTTCCGATGATTTCAAGATCTTCTGAATTTGTAATAAAAAAAATAGGCAAATCATTTTTATTTCAACGCGGAGAACGTTGATAAACCTTGTAAAATGTGCCAAGCGATCGTTTGTAAATACATACGCGTCGGTGAATATTTATGCCTGTAAATAGAAGTGTTTTGTTTCTCAGTCGATAATTTACATATGACCGTATTAATCTCTTATGTTTGTCTTCATCGAATGAAGATCAATAATCGCAATCATTAACACGACAGAATCAAATTTGGATATCATCTGTTTTTAAAGTCAAAATTTCATTTCAATCTTTTGTCAATTGAAGAGAATTTGAATAGCATCATTCTCTCGTTAGATCTAAGCAAGCTCGTTAGATTGTTTTAAGATGCTCGTAAACTTTTGTATAAATTATCCATAACGATGTATAAAAAGTCACTAGCAATAAATAGGATGTCTAATAACTGAGGTCTCAAGAGTATTCTCTCTCGTTTTTTTATTTTATACCTATTAAAACCTAAATAGAAGACAGCTTCAAGTCCAGCTTGTGAACAAATGAAGAGTTTACCAATACTTACCCTCACCGATTTGGGTATCGAATTTTACGTGTTGAATAATCCAAGTCAAGAATAACAATATATAATCTCATCCGTGTCTAATCGTCCTTTGAAGATGGAAGAAGTCCCTTGAAGAAAAGATAAAGAAAACTGTTTCAAATAAAACTTAAATAATACAGCAAGTGCTTTAAAATTTTTAAAGAAAGAATTTTTATTTTCTTTACTAGACTTCGACCTAGACTTTCCTATTGAGATCTTGACTTGCCTGGAAGATGTGTTTCCCTTAGTTGTGCTGAGAAAGCATTGTCCCAGTGGTGATGGTTTCGAGTTTCTTGAATTTCCTGGCGCCCGCCGGTACTTGATCTACATTTTAGTCTCTGAGAAAGCGTTGGCTAATACGTTTACTTGGAAGAGAATTCTTCTGCATCCGCCGACATTTGTCCCTTATTTCTGAGAAAAATTATGCAAATGAAAGATTTGAAATTTGTGAACAAACTTCCCCTAAATCGTGCTTTAAAAAGATTAATTAATTAATTTTCATTGACTTGTATATACGTATGATCTAATACGTGTGATAACGTATGATCTTCAATTTATCTTTGTTAGTCATTTCAGTACCATTTCTTAGCAGATCATTTTGCTGAGTATTAAATAAACAAATAGTCGCGCGACGACTAATTGAGACTAAATATTTGCGGCATTTTTATCTGACAATGATCCCATCGTTTAGCTGCATTGATAACTGCATACTGCTGACATTGTATGTTGTAAATGTTTTGTATGTTGTAGACCTCTTGTCCCCAATTCGTCAAGAAATTGCATATTGATACCTAGTTAAATGAAATTGAATTATGTTAAATATATCGCATATATTCAGTAAATTGAATATTAAAAAAAAAATTAATATTACATATTTTTAAAAATTCAAATCGACTTTTCAAAACTATTTTGGGTTTTGGTAGTATTTTTTGATAACTTGTTACTCTCATTCTGAGCTCATTAATCTAAAATATAAACTTTATTTATGAAACAATATAAAAAGTCTACTAAAATTGTAGAAATATATAAAGTCGTGTCCTAGAATTCTAAAATACGTACTGTTTTTTTTTTTTTTTTTTAGTAATGCGTGTCTACGTAGATATAATACAGCATCGCTTTCATTCCAACAAACAATCAACAAATTTTGCTAGTACTAAGCTTCAAATTTATGATTGTTCTAGCAACATCTATCAGATCGCTTTGTAAGTAATGCATTAAAAACACTTGACTTAGATAAACATAAAATAATTAAACGATAATTGTAAATAGATTGTAATATTCCTTCTTTCGAAAAATAATTATATATTGAAATATCATTATATATAATTGTGTATATTCTTTACTCCAATTAAAAATCTGGGAACTAAATGATTGTTACAAACAAATCATTTAGTGCGTTATATAGTGAATATAAATTCATCGCAGTAGTGAAGCAATTAAGCAGAGAAAATAAAGTCTTTAAATACATGATACACTCCGTAAATACATGAATATGTAACATTACGACATTACGGAGGATTAAATTCCATTTTACTAGAATACACAATAAGCACTTCTTACTTGTGCTTAATTTGATATTTCGTTTTGTTCATCCAAAATACCGTATACATGTATATATATATATATATATATATGTACATCTGAAATACACACGTGAAGAAACAAAAGTACTTTTTTTGGAGAACAAAGAGGCACGTGCTTCTTTAGTAGAAGGTGTTAAACACAGGAGAAGGTGAATCGGTACCGCTTCGTAAACTCTTCGGTTGACGAAGCGCAGAACACCTCCGTGGCCCGAATCGACGATATAAACACTCCGCGGTACCTAAGGAACTCGGTTATTCTCGGTAGCAGCAAAGAGATCGTTGCTTTCTTGTCAAAACTTTACCATGAAGCCCCTGCTGTGTTACTGAGACCGTATACGATTCCTACAATATAAAAAGAATTTTGTACTACATGCATGTTATTGGATTGTCCGTGCAAGTTCATAATTTTACGAACACAACAGAAAGTTTGTTCTATCAATTAAATATAACAAGTATAGGATGATTTCTACATACTGTGTACATCCTATGCGTTTTTACATTTTTAAATTCCTTGCACTGCTGCTAATTTCTAATATTTCAGTATTTATCGTAGATGATAAAATATTTAAATTGCACGTGCATTTTATAATGCAATTGTCGATTAACACGTTACAGACTCTTTTTCACATTATATTATTTTCGGTTATTTCGGTTTTTGAACAAAGACAATGAATGATTTTAAGGTTAGGGAACAATAGGAGAATAGGAAAGTGGGGGGGGGAAGGAAAGTCTCCAGAGTTCATGCATCAATCAGAATTAGAAGATTAAGATCAACCCAGGGGTGTTGTATTGTTTTTCCAAAGCTATTTCCACTATTCCATCAGATAACGACTATGCACTTCACAATACATTTCATCGTCGAATATAAGTGCACTAAATGTGATTAAATCGTCAATAGTAAGTAAATTCCACTTCATCTATTTAAACAAAACTTTTATTCACACAGATGTAATAGAAACTTATTATACAATACAATTATACAACAAAACAAACAATTACATTGTCTCTAAATATTGCAATTCAATAAATGAAACCTATATATCTTCGATATCGATTTCTTTTAAACCAACGTCACTAATCCTCGAATAGTATGCAAGCTCATCTTTTCTCCCCCTTTCGCGTTTGTTTATGTATGTTTGATGACTTGACAAATGAAGAAAAGAAACCTCTCTTACGTGGGAATATTTTCGAAATAATATAACAAGGGAACAATCACGCACAAGAATGTATTTGTATGAATGTAACGTGCACGCTAAATGTATATACGAGATCTAAGAAAAAAGTATGAAGCAAACGTTTGTTTGCTTTGACAAGTATCGAAGGTCCACGTACTCGCGAGAATGCCTAAGTACGGGTTGGCCACTTAGGCTTCTTGAAAAACTGCCCTTTACATGTGTCGTGCAACCCTCTCCACTTAATTGCTTCTTTCGAACGATACTCTTCTTTATCATTGAGCAAAAGAATGGAGAGAAAGTCAATGTTCTGAAGTTTTCTATACATTACTTATATATATATATATATATATATAAGTATATATATATATATATATATATATATATATAAGTAAGATAATCAGACAATCTAGTTAGTGAGAATGAATAAGTTAATTTTTTGAAAGCGATTGCAGATTGCAGATGTTCAAAAATAAAAAAAATATTCGAAACAAAATGCTAATTGTAATCAAGCTAGAGATACTTTTATAGTTTAAGAAATAGGACCAAGTGGAAGATTGTTTTAATCACTAAATACCACCAGTATTATACTTTGGATATTTTATGTCGTTTGGATGTTATATGTCTTCATTTAAAACAAAAAGAAAAAAATATAAATTCACATAAACATTTATAGTCTACTTATAACATTATGGTTATTTTATTCGCAAACTTTTGTAACTTAAACTTAATACCAAACTTTTGTAACTTAAAGTTAGTAACATTAGATTGAAGGAATCTAAGATGTTAGTAGATTTATTGAGTGTTGGAATTTATCAGACAGACATTGGAGCTATTATTGCAAAAAGGAGCAAATGAGCATGCTTCTACGACTACAAATCTTGTTTCAAATTGTTTACTCTTTGAAACTGTGCGTCATACGTAAACAATGCTGTTCTCCTTTAAGATAGATTATGTCTTCTGTTCGAGTGTTCGGATTTAGTATCTCATAAATACCTAATGACAGTGATTGCTGTGATATGTAGAAACTCAATGTTTCCTATATTATTCTATAAATTAATTTAATGGATTATATGAAGTTAAAAATACTTTCGTTTTTCTTTAATTTCTTTCTTTTTTACCTTGTATTTTTGTTATACCTTTCAGAATTACAGATCTAATTACTACACTGCAGATTTCTGCATATTTATGGAAAGTTTTGAAAAGTAAAGTTGCATATAATGTGAAAAAATAGGTATATGAAATACCCAAGGTGCTTTCTGTAATATATAATATATAAAACTTTTTAACCAATTTCATTTTATTAATTATAATTACTAATCAATCTACTAATTATTGAAGTATGAAATCAATATCTAAACATTAAGATATATATATAATTTGATTAATATCAACTACCAAAGTTCTATCTAAATGATCAAACTACCAAAGTTCTAAGAATCTCAAAATTTAGGAATTCTAAAACATTAAAGCAATGCCGTATTAACTCTCTGCCTTGTGATTTCTCAGTCTTCAGTAAACATTAATTTTTAATAACATGTTACAGATGTAAAACATTGAAAGCATTATAATAGTTGTTTGAATAATTATTTGAATTTGAAATATAATTGAATTTATATACATAATTATTCGAATTTTCAACTTTAATTCTTCAAATTGAAGATCAATTATACAATTATATATATGTGTGTATAATAAAGTTAAAATATCTTAGTTCTTCTTTAATTTCTTTCTTTTTTTACCTTACATTATACATATAAAATTATATAATTAATCTTCAGTTCGAAGAATTGAAAGTTGAAAAATTCAAATTCTCATTCCATAGGATTACAATTTCTTCTTTCTGCTTTTCCTTCCAAATCGAAATCACAATTATTCCGCGTGATTATGAGATCCAGAAAAGATTCTCTCAGAAATCAATCTTCCATTGGCGTTTCGTATAAGCTATGCTTTTACCGTAAATTTAAATGGTACGCCTCTGGGACGATCAACTGATAAATGTGCCGATAGGCGAACGCACAGTCAAGCTTTTATACGATCCGGATCTTCCCGCACTCCTCGGTCTCGTTCATCCCGAAATTGAATTGGTTAATTGACATGCTTAATCGAGAACAGATTGTCCGACTGATCGCCTGGGGCGCCAGGTTCGATTCGTTATAACCGACAGAGCAAACATCAGGGTGGCACCGCTGACGTTTTCCGATTTGTCAGGCGACGCTTGTCTTCCTCTTTCATCGTTTTCGATAAATATCAAAGGTCCCCACGTCGTTCGATCGTATATACGTCTCTTCTCTTCAAATTTTGCTAAATCATCGACTTGTACAGCGTGAAATTCTATTCTTGTGAATGGATTTAATTAATTCTACTTTGAAACAGGGATTCAAGATTCATCGACTGTTTGCAAAGGAATTAATGCATTATTTTATGTGTTATAGCTCATCGATGCCAATATGGAAACTCTTTTACACAAAAGTATGTAATATTCTTTGAAGTCGTTCTTAACAAAATTCTAATCATTCGTTGTTACTTATCAGAGGTATAAATATATAAATTATTAGATAATTGATACAGAATATTAAAATC